AATAATAAAGAACTATAGTTTTTAATTTAATATTTTTCTAGAAATTTATAATATATTTATAATAAGCTTTTTTTAGCTAGCTATAATAAACCCGCTATTAAATTAGTTCTAAAATAATTTATATCTATAATTATAACTTATAAGAAATGAAAATAAGTATAAGATTAAATAGATTTTTAATAAAAAATATATAAAATATAATTAAGGGCTTTTAAAAGAACTATTTATAAAATAAAAGAATTATATATATTTTATATTTAAAGAAATAATAATATTAGAAATTTAAAAAGAAATTATTTAATAAAAAGAAGTTTTATTTATATATTTATAAAACTAATATTTATAAATAAGAAAAAAATATATAATAAATTGAACCCCGATTTATATATTTAACTAAAAGCTTATATAATATATTTTCTTGGGTTAATAAAATAATTATATATTCTTTAGAAAGCTCGAATATATAAAAGAATATAATTTCACTTTTCTCGGTTTTCTTCTTTTTTTCTTTTTAAAGAATTCTATTTAGTTAATTAAATTACTAGTCTTTTTTATATAAAGGTCTAGTTTATAATATTTATTATTATATAAGCCTTAATTTAATTAGAGCTATTTAATAAGTAATTTATTTATTTAATAATTATTTAATAAAAACTAATTTATTATAATTATATATAATAGATTAATCTAATTAATCTAATTAATATACTAAATAGTTTAAAAATCTAAAATTAAGAAAAGAAATAAGATCTAGTAATAAATATATAAATATAACTAAAACTATTAAAATACCGAGTTTTAGAACCCGAGCTTAGTTTAAATTATAATTTAAAACCTTAGCTAAACTTAATTTCTTTAAAACTAATTATATAATATTAGCTATTATAATTATTATATTAAAAGATTATTAAAATGTATAATTATTAAATAAAGGTTTTAATATATTATTTCTTATTTTTATAGCTTTATTTCAAATTACAAATATATATAAAAACGTTTAATTATATATATTTAAAGAAAATATATAAATATTTATTTATTTCGTAATTAAATAAATACAAGTTTAAATATAATAAAGAAAAGTGTTTTTATTAATTATTTAAATTCATATTAAAAAGTTTAAAAGTAATATTAATAATTATTTTTTAAAAGAAATTTTAAACTTTTTTTTTAAGTTATATAAATAAATTAAATAAATTATTTATTAATATATTTTATTAATTAAATGAAGCTCTTTTACTAATCTTATTAATATTTTAATTAATAAAAATATTAAAATTATTTTATAATTTTAAAAAATATTAAATAAAAGAATTTATTATAATTTATTTATTTAATTATTTTTAATATATATATAATTAAACTTTATATAAGATTTTTTTTATTTTATTAAATTATATTTATATTAAAAATAAATAATAAATTATAATATAAAACTTAAATAATTAAAGAATTTATTAAAGAAAAAACTAAAAGTTATTATAAATATAGTATTTTAGGCTTAAAAATAAAATAGAAAGTCTTTTATAAAAAATAATTTAAAGCTAAAAAGAGAAAACTAGAATGTAAGAAATTATAAGAAAATATATTAGTTTATAAAAAGCTTAGCTTTTTAAATATTTCTAGTATATTTCAAGTATATTTCTTTAATAAAATATAAATTATAAAATATAAAAAATAGAATATAAGTAATTATATTAGCTAATAAGATTAAAACCTAAATTATAATAAAAAGCTGGCTTTAATTTTAAAAAGAAATAAGAATTATAAATATAATATAAAATCCAGTTCTAATTTATTTTATTATAATAAGAAATTAGAAAACGGATTATATAACTAGTTATATATTTTTAGTTATTTATTATTTTATATATATAGCTTTTTCTTTCTTTTTTCTTTTTACTAAAATAATATTTCAAATACTCGAGTTTTAATATATATTTTAGTATTTCTATATATTTCTTTTTATATTATATTATATAATAATATTTTTAATATTAAATAAATAAAATACTTATATTAAATTTATTTAATATATATTTATATAAAGTTAAATAATTAATATAATAAATCATATATAAGAGTTTATAATTTTAAAATTAGAATTTAATTAATTTTATATATTTATTTATTTATAAAAATAATAAATTAAAAGATTATTTTTTATTTAATAAAGTATTTTTAAAAAAAGAATATAAATAAAAGATTTTTTATAAATAGAAATTTAAGAATTTAAGTAAAATAATATATTAAAAATCTAATATAAATATAAGAAATAAATAAAAAATATCTCGAATTAAGTTTTTTATTAAAGATTTCTTTTAAGATTTCTTTAATTAAATAATAATAATAATTCTTTTATATATATTTATTAATTATATAATAATAGCTAAGTTTATATTTATATAAAATATATTAATAATATATTATTTTATTTCATTATTTTATTTTATTTTTAATTATTTTTAATTATATTAAATATTTATATTCTTTTAATTTATTTTTTTAAAAAAAAATCTAAATTAATTTTTTTTATTAAAGATATTAATTTTAATATAATAAAATTTTAGAATATATTATTAATAAGAATTAAAAGAAATTAAAAGAATCTTTATTAGAAATATATAATAATTATTTTTAATTTAAAATATAAACTAAATAGCTTTCATAATTATTAAATAAATTATAATAAAAATATAGTTTTATTATTTTATAAAATATTAAATAGAAAGAATTTATACTTTTTTAAATTTATTTATTTGGAGTTTTATATTTTAATTCATTAATAGCTTTAATAAATATATTAATAAATTCTCGAATTAAGGATTTTTTTTAATTATTATTTTAATAAATTTAGATATATTTTTTTTAAAAAAATATTAATTTAATAATTATTAGTTATATAATCTAAAATTAGTTATAAATAAAATTAGCTATTTTTAAAGCTTTTTATTATATAAGTAAAAATAAAACAAATATAGTTTTTCTCTTTTAAATATATTTATAAGTTTCCTTTTAATATACTAATTCCTATTAAATCTCTAAAATACTATTATTAGAATAATATATTTTTATATAGTTCCTCTAGTTACTAGTCTATTTATTCTTAAGAAATTAATGCCCCGAAATATAATAGAGTTAGATATTACTATCTACTAATAAAGTATCTATTAAAATTTAAAATATACTAGTTAGAGGTATTATTCGGATTTATTCCAAATATCTATTAACTCTGAGTCCTTACGGACTCTGTAATATAATAAGGGTATATATAGTCTATAGATACTTCCTGCCCCAACCTTGTACCAATAACCTCAAGGAAGAATTCGAGCTCGGTATACCCTCAAGTCATCCCTCCTCCTCTAACCTCAAGACTCCAAAAATTAACCACTCCAAACTAATGTCTTCCCTCTTGCCACCCATCTTTTCCCACCCATTACAAACCACTTCACATGACCCCCCTTCCTCTTTATAGTATCCCTCGGTAAGCCAGCCACCTTTTTCGAAGACGACCTTAATGATTCCCTTAGTACCTCTATTACATGTCTATTACCTTCCGGTCCCTGCATCTCGCTAGCAGGAATTAATCTGTACGCCTTATTAATTCAAGCATCTTTCACATTACTATATTAGGATAAGGCGGCAGGGTTAGAGGCTAGGATAGCTAAACAAGCAAAGTTAATATCAAAGTTGAGAGTAAAGTCAAGTTACGTATACTAACCTTGCTTGGTAAGTTACGAAGATTACGGTATAAAGTAACGGGATTACAGGGCATTTGTCCTTTAATAGTACTTAAGTATCTTTTTTTTTTTTTAGCGCACTCGATTACTAAAATTCCCCTTTAATTCTAGGCCATTGCCCCAAAAACACGCTAGAAGTCAGGGGCAAGGGATACCATCCATACCTTTTTAGGGCTTCTCCCTTATACTTATAAGGGTTCCTTGCTAAAGAACCCTATAGTAATTACCTATTTAGTATCCAAGCATTATTATTGCTCTGCTAGTAGTACTATTTATCCCTAAAGATCTTCTCATACCTTGTAAATATCTTATAATGCCTCTTGAGATCTGCTCAGAGTATATAATCTGGAGTTATAGGGCCTTAAAGCGGGCTCAACTCCCTAAATTGTGCCCGAGGGATGCCAAGGGTTCAAATGCCCTGTAATCCCATTACTTTATACCCTGTTCTTTATACAAAATGTGGACTCATATGCGTCTTGCATTTATTTAGTTCCGAGGCTCTTTTAAGATCCTCTTCTCTTCTTTAGCTTTGAATTATTAAAATGGAAATAATTTAACCTTGCTTTCTAAGCCTTGAATTTGTATTCCTAATAACTTTAATAAGAGACTTTAATATAGTATTTATATAGCTTATATTATAATTAATAATTATATAATTAAAGAAAAAGGTATTTTAGTAATTATAAAAATTAATATCTTAAAAACTCTTTATTATAATGTATTATAATTAGCCCGTTTTTCTTTTGCTTATTAAAAATAATTAATATTATAGTTATTTCTTATTTCTCTTATTAAATATAAAATTAATAATTTATTCTAATAATTTATTAGTTTTATATTAAAAGACCTAATATTATAAGTTAATAACTATTAGAAATAATAAAGAGATAATTAATTATAAGAATAAGTAAAACCTCTAGTAATATTAATTAAGGTTATTAATAATCTTATATATAAAACTTATTTCTTTTAAATAGTATACTAGTAAAAGAGTATTAGGCCAGAGTACCGAGGTATACTAGCTATTAGAGGCAATCTGGCGTTATATATAGGAAGAACAATTACCTTTGGTACCTTCAAACTGTCCTCTATATTATTACTTTTAATATTAATTTCTCACAACCCCCGTACTATTCAATAAAGCCACTTGTATGCCTGTTGTATGAAATCCTTAGTATTATAGGAGCTGTCAATGAGTGTTATAGTGATTGTAAACAAGTTACAAATATATCACTGGGAACTACAGGCTCCTTCTAGTGACTACCGCCTCCATGCCGTAATTGCCTGTGCGATATCCCTCGCTGTATTTACAGTCTCCATAATCTTTCCAAAGAAACTTTCAGACATGACATCATCTTTAACTTCTTCGTAACGCATAGAGAAGGCTGAGGATTCGCTGGTGAGACTGGATGTAGATGCCGGCGCGTGCAAATTCTGGAGCCGCTCTTGTGATGCTGATACATAATCCTTGCGGTTGTTGAAGGCTCTCGGTGGCTGCCAGTCCATATCGACATCATCATTGCCGTCATCATTGCCCTCCTCACCACTCCCGAACAACGGTCTTGTGGATAGTGTTGATGGTCTTGACGTCTCTTGAAACGGGGAGGGAGATGATTTACTACCGCTCCAGAATCCATTGCTATGCTTTATTGCGATTTCTGAGGCCTCCAGTGTATCCCCTTTATACTTCAATGTCGTTGGTGGTAACATTGCAATCGTCTTGCTCTCCACACTGGAGGTTTGACCCGATGTCCTCCTTTTAAGGAGTGGGGGTAATTTCCGCTTCGAGTTGTTCCTCATCACAATTCCTTCATTATCAGAATCGCTATCATCGTAGTCATTAATGGCATATATCTCTTTGCTGCCATTGTCCTTTATCTCCAACGATATACACTGCTCAACTTGCTCATTAAAACGTATGGTTTTCTTCTCTCCTACTTCTGGAGATGACGGCCCTAATGAGGAGATCGAAGAGAGCATGCTGGTACTCTCTTGACTGAAACCTGGTGATGAAAATGACACAGTATAATTGGAAACTCTATGGTCGGCCCTTAAACAAACAAGTCCTCGATTATCAGATTGCTGTGCTTGAGCTGTTGCAGCTGCCTGTCTGCGAAGCGATAAAGACGAAAAAGATCTCTGTAGCATTATCTCCGACATGCCTCGCTTCTTTAATATTGGTTTCTTATTTAAGCATGTGTTTGGCTTGGAGATCCGGCTGCTTGCTATCCAGGAGGATGGTAGATGTGATGACTTGTCCGTTCCAGTTTGCAAGGGGCCATACAGCCATATCACGTCGCAATCCTTCGACCTATAGATGTTAGATGTGCTGGAAATGGTTGTCAGCTGTGAGAAATTACTGCACTTACCAATTAATAGTTTCTGGAGGCACAGTATTCAACTTATTCTTTGACTTCGTCCATGTCCGCCATAACGCATTCTCCAATCTTGCGTTGTTACCATGAACTTTTCGCTTTGATACAATATGCTTCCACGACGACCAGATATCCTCCTCTTTCCAAATATGCAATAAGTAATCTACATGTCTAGACGGCTGTGCCCCAATGGCCGTATCGTCCTCTGCACGGTCAAACGGACCCGGTAATATTAGACTTGATGTAATAGCCGATGAACTTTCCAAAATTGGTAAAACGATGTGAGAACTAGTATTTGACAGAGATTCTACGTCTTTGATTTGACTGTAATCTTTCTCGTTGTCGTATAAGGGGAACACAATCTGGTATTCGTCATCTTCGTCTTTGCAACCTTCGTCATGCAATACTCTACTCAAATGAGTGAGGGAGTAAGAGGGAGCTCTTAAGTCGGCGAGCATGATTCTGGGGGAGGAGAGCGGTTTGAGAAGGTGTGTAGTTTAAGGTCCCTTAAACTAAAGACCCCATAAGTATTTCCTAATATAGCCACAATTGAAGAAAGTTGTGTCTAATCAAATAAATCCCATGCGCTTCTTCTAGAGATCAAATTATATTGGGTATTTGTCTAAGGGGTGGTAGAGGTAAGGGTAATAAGATTAATGTGTCTTCGAATCTTCTAATTTGGGAGGTAAGGTGCTATTAACGTTTACTGTAAGGGGATTACAGCTCTCATTTACTCAAACTTTTATTAATATCAAGACACTCCTTACGTCAAAATCTCGTCCTAATTTTATTAGTAGCTAATTCAGAAACTGTTCTTAATTAACCAAGAATTAAGCAATTCGGCTTCATTCCTTAGGGAATAATAAGGTTAGTAATGCGAAATACAATATCTTTGAGCATTTATATTAACTATAAGGAGAATATACGAAGAGATTTCAAAGCAAGGGGTATTTTAGTATTATTAGCAAATATTGATAACTGAGACCTAATTTTATTAGTAAATAATTCGAAAAGCGTTTTTAATTATAGTGCCGTTATTAATTTGGTGTGGCTGCCCTTGCTAAGGAATGGCCAAAGCTCCCAATCTTTATGGAATGGAAGCTCATTCCTTCGACTCTGAGACCTGCAATTATTTATCTATTACCCCCTAAAATCTTTTCACAGCCATTGCAACCTCTTATCTAGACTATAAATCCTCTACTTCTTAGCCCTAGACAGTACCACGGTTCTTTTGTCCAATGCATTTATTAAAACATCCACAGAAATTCAGAAATGCCTTGGTTATCCCGTTCTGCAAGCTCCGAAAGATTAGAATGTTTAGGTTACTTGCCAGCCCCACTATTGCATCAAATTGGTCCTACTGGCCCCACCGTAACTTTTGTGCCAGCATTGCAGGATGTGTCTTGTTGCACCTCACCTGTCATATATAGACAAAGCCCGATGCAATTGTCAATTGATGGGCTCGGACTCCTTCTCCAGAACTTGTGCCATACCCCGCAGACAGTGATGTTACAGTTAACTCGGAGCATAGTTCGGAACTCTAGAAGAGAGTGGAAGGATGTGAGAGACATCGCACTGCATATGTTACTGATAATCGTCGAATTTTGGGGCATGGTAGTGATATTACCTGCCTTTCTGGTACTTCCCGGGATTGTGTTTTCAATACTGTGCATTATGAGTGCGGGCCTCATTGCAGTTCTTACATGGCCTTTGCATGGCAGCCGAGTTGTAAGCAGTGGCAAGGAGCGAAAAAGGAACTTGGAGCAGCTTTCAGGTGTGAAATTACTTTACATTAATGGTTCTATTACTAGGTAGCTTTCTATTTTCCTTAGAATGCTGACCACGAAGCTAACCATTTACAGTCAGAGGGGCTTTCGATCTCATATCAACTCCCTGTCATTAATCTTTGGTCGGCCGGTTATAGGCGTTTACAACCCTACCAACGGACTTGTTATTGATATCTTGGAAATGCTGCTGCTCCGCTCCATTCCATATCCCTCTCGTACTTCTACAACACTTTATACCCAGCTGCGAGAGCTACTGCTTCCCCCCTCTACTCGCAAGGTCCTCGTCATAGCACACGGAACCGGGGCTTCTATTCTCTCTTCAGTTCTCAGCAAGCTACACAACGACCTCCCCATCGACATATTATCAAAACTCGAAATCTTCACGTTTGGTTCAGCAGCTACTTATCTCTCCAATTCCTTACTCGCACAACACTCTAGAATCATTGGAGAACATTCAACAACTTACCCAGGTGCAAAAGAGGAAATTGAGCGAGTCATCCCAGTATGTCCATCCTTCTAATTTAGTTAGCTTAATAGTTAACACGAAGATAGTATATTGAGCATTACGCGTTCTCAGCCGACATTTTTGCCCGTTGTGGGATCCTGAAATATATGCTTAAAGTACTAGATAATCGCTTTTATGGGAGACTGTTTGTTTTAAACGCGACTCCACATACTGGCTTGACTTTTACACAGTATCTGCAAGCAATATTTCCAGCGAATGCGAAAGGCAGTATGTTGGATGAGGTAGTGGGAGTGGATGTACTGAGTGCCGAAGCAAGGGAAATCGCTGCACAAGGCTTGAACCTTCCTTTAAAGAGTTTATCGAATCATTACGAAGGTATTGGTGGCACGTTCTTGTCTGACAAAACTCTTGACATGAACGGGAAGGGTGAGAAAAGAATGAACTGGAACGCACGAATATTTGACTCCTGTCCTGGTGATTGTGGCGTACAAGCGAGGACAAATGCTAAAGAAGCCGAAGGGAAGACGGTGAGACAATTGAGTAGGCTTTGGCAGTATGCAGGCGGCGCACATCCGGCTGGGGAGGGTGTAGTAATTGTAAATACGACAGCTTACTCTTCTGAATTATAACAATTAGTAATCAATGCTGGAACATCAAACTCCGGGCTCACAGAGACGTAGAGCCATATGCATAAAATCTACGTTCTTTAAAAGCTTTATTTCTGATATACAGTTATTGGCTTTTTAGCCCAGAATATTATTATGTGACATTCTTTGTCCTTATAACATTGCTCTTTCTCAATCTTATATCCAGTTCCCCGGCTCTTTTCCCTTGGAATATATAAATTAGATTCTTTACCCTTTTTAGGTGTGTATGATATCTGTATTAGAACCCAAATATTCCCTGACAAGTGCCCATTGAAAGGTCTCTTCGTATCACCCCACCGATTTTCCATCCCAAGTCCTTCGATTTCCGTACTGCCCTACCACCACCCCTCTTTCCTTCTGTCCTTCTCTAGCTTGGACTTTTAGCATCTGATTCCATGATTGCGACTCTTAACTCAGTCGCGAGCAGCTAGCAGTGCCTGAGACTATTACAGGAACTGAACGTTATCGGAGGCCATTGGCTCTGGTACTTGTAAGGCCCTGTTTCGCAACTTTTTGAATGCTAGCATTTGGTCGGCAATCGAACACTAGCTTTCGATTATTAGGAATTTTAGTGTTCCGTAAATTTTTGTGTGCTAGCAACCAAACACTGGTATTCGCAGTATTTGCTCCCATACAAATCGCAATTTTTTCAGAACCACATACTATAGGCAGTTCTGAAAAAACTGAGTATTTGAATACTAGCTTTGCCCTTTCTAACTACCTTTATAGTACTTCTTAAGGCATAATGTTTCAATTATTATATAAATATCACACTTCTCGCATAATTTTTATTATGAATTATTTCTTAATAGAAAAGCTATAGTAAAGTAATGAATTAATTACTTTTGCCTTAGGAAAGAAATAATTATTAGGCTATAATACCCTATAATTATAGGAAGTAATTACTAAAGAAAAGTAAGCCTTGAGATTTAAAATTACTAGAAATTACTCTGGGACTTCTGTAATTATAATAGTTATTAAGTTTTTGTATTTTGCAAAATATCTCTAAATTATATTAATACTAGCTTTAAATACTAAGTATTAAATAATAGTAATTAAAAGGCATGTATTTATATGAAATAGAACCTAAAGTAAATTACTTATATATAAAGTAAATTAGGGTTTTAAATAATTCTGAAATATTTTAAGCTTAAATAAAGATTCTTAATAGAATTTAAAATAGTTACTAATATATATTATTATAATATTTAATGTTTTCTTAAAAAGAAAAACTTAAATTATATATTAAATATCTTTAATATAAATAAGATTTTTAAGAAATTAAAAGAAGTAATATTAAGATTTATAAAAGAAATATATAAATTTATTTAAATATATAATTCCAAAGTTATAAAATATTATAGAATTATTTTCTTGTTTTAAATATTTAATATTTAAAGTAATTTAAATAACCCAATAAAGCTTTATAAATTATAAATAATAGCTTTTTAAAATTATATTTTAAAAAAAAAATTTATTATATAACTTCTTTTTATTCTTTTATTATATAAATTAATTAATTAATATATAATTTAATTTTTAATTTTATATATTATAATTTATAAATTAGTTATTTTAAGAAATATTTCATTTTATAATTATTATAAATAATTGTATTTTTGTTTTATAAATATTTTATTATTTCGAGAAAAAAAAATTTATTAAATGTTTTTTTTTATATTATTAAACTTATTTTAATTAGAAATATTTTAAAGCTTATATTAAAAGATTTATTTTAAAAACAGAAAATAATTTTTTTTTAAATTTTAAAGCAAAAATAATTCTTAAAATAATTCTTAAAAAAGCTTTAAATTATTATATTTTTATTATAATTTATATTTATAAATTAAAAGAATTAAATTAAAAAAAAGTTAGAAACCTTAAAAGTTTTAATTAAATAAAATTAATATATATTAATAACTTATTTCTATAATACTAACTATAAATTTATTTATATAATAAATATTATAATAAAAGAATTATAAGTTTATTTCCTTATATATTATTATACTCTGCTGCTTTACTAGTAAATTTAGCGTCACGTGACCGTGATGACGCATTCAGCTGGCTAGTATTTAGAATACCAAAGCTCCTGTACTTATAAGCTTTCTTCCTTAGTTTAAAATCCTCGGATTAAAAGCTATTTTACCTGCTTTCCAAATCTAGAAATATGGTTTCGTAATATATATATTAATAAAAGTATTATAAAGTGCTTTATTATATTTAATATATATTAATAAAAGTATTATAAATATAATTTTTTATATTATAAATAGTAAATAAAATTTCTAGAATTATTTAATTATTATAATTTATTATTTACTAAAATAATATTTTTATTTTTATTTTTATATATTTTAAATAAAGATTTTAAATTCTAATTCTAATTTTAATTATTTATTATTTAAGTTAAATAATATTATATTAGTGCTTTCTTTATTTATTTAATTTTATATATTAAAAATTAAAATTTTTTATAAAGTAATATAATATAATATTAAATTCTATTAAAAGAATATTTATAAAAGTAATAAACCCCGAAAGTTTAATTTTTATTTATATAATAAAATATAAAAACTTTTAAAGAATTCTTTAAATAATAGTAAAAACAAATTAATTGACTTTTATTTTTTTTTAATTCTTTATTTTATTTAATATTATTATTAATTTATAAGAAAATATAAAATAAACTTTTCTTTTAAAAATTAATAAGAAATATTAATTAGAAACTAAAGTATTAATAATTCATTATTTATTATTTAAGCCTTTTAAAAACTTTAAATTAATTTTTTTAATATAGATAATAAGTAATATATTATAGGACTTATAATAAAAAAGTTTTTAGAATTAATTTTTAATTAAAAGAAATTCATTTATTAATTAATGAAGTTTTAGTTATTAAGTCTTATAAGGTTTTATAAATTAGAGGCTTATAAGGCCATTTCATATTTAGTTTTATAAACTTATTTACTAAAATTTTGGGGTTTTTTTTAAAGCTTTCTTTTAAGTTTTAAATTATTAAATCTTTGATTTCTTTGATTTTAAAAATTATTACTAGTTTTTATATTATAAATAAAATTATATTTAATAACTTTTAATAATTCGCTAATTAGTTTTATAAGAAAATAAAAAACGTATTAAATTTTAAATTTTTTTTATAGTTTTATTAAATAATATTACTCTAAATTATTACTAATTTAATATCTAATTAATACTTTCGAAATAAAGAAGTTATTTTATATTTTTATTATTATATATATAGTTAGTTTAATTTAAAAGTAATAATTTTTTTAATTATTATAACCCTAAATTATAAAAATAAATAAGGCAAATAAAATCTATTAATTAAATTTTTAATATAATTATAATTAATTTATAATTAAGATTTAAAATATATAAATTCTTTTTACTTTTTTAATTATATTAAATACTAAAATATTTTGAGATATATATATATACTTAAATAAATATTATATTAAATTAAGACTTATAAAGTTATAAGACTTTTTATACTTTTATTTATTTAATATATATAATAAGAGCTTAAAGTTTAAAGATTATTATTAATATATATATATTATAAATTTAATTATATATAACTTTATATATTCTATAAAATATAATATTTTATTTATAAGAAAGCTAATATAATAGCTAGCTTGAATTATATAAAATAAGCTATTTTCTATTATTTTGGGTTTCTTTTTTTCTTTTTTTCTTCTCTTAAGTTTCATATTTTATAAAATAAGAAATAGAAATTTTTAGATTTATTTTCTTACTTTCTTTTATTATTATAATATGATTTATAATTCTTATAATATTAAAGGTATTAAAAATTAGAGAATAAGGAATTAATTATACTAGTATAAGCCTACTATAAACAAAATTCAAGTCTTTACTAGTTATAATTCTTCAAACTCCGTGACTAGTAATAGTTGGCGGTATTATAATAACACCTTAATGCCATAAATTGGCACCCATGAGGGAATCTGCTATGTACCTAGCTTGCTTCAGATATGTTAGTGGTAGCCAAATTTCTGTGTTGGTAGAAGAGTTCTGCGTAGATTGCCACTCGTTCCGTCTGAGGTCCAGACATTGTAACGGAGTGAAAAATCCTTGTTCTCATCTCATATAGTTCCTGCCTATATCATCGGTAACTTGGCAACGACATGGTTGCTGCTACGACACGGTTGCTGCCATGACAGTCTGGCCAGTGTTTGCAAGACTCCGAATGCCAACTCACTGTGTTCGTGTTTGTGGCTAAACGAATTCTTTCTCTAGCTCCTTATATTTTGGCTTAATTTGTGGTAAAAGCTGTTCTAATTGAAATCTGCAAATTATAGCCAGGATTCGCGGAAGAAGGAAGAGTGATGCAAATAAGGGGAGAGAGTCAAGCTAAGCTCTTGGATCAAAGTATGCAATGTAGGTAAACGTATTTTTGGGCATGAGAGAGGTCTCATTAGTAATTGAATGAGCAAGTACAAACTCAATATATGTCATTATCATTTAAACTCTCACACAGAAGTCCAACACACAAAAAACCGCAATATTATACGGACCCTTATAAAGCATTCAAGACCAGTAAACCAGCTACAAAGTGCATCGTTGCAGATAATACAAGACAGAATGGGTATCCCAAACCATTAACACCAAACCCCAAACCACCGCCATCAATCATAATTTTGAGGATATATATGGGCTCCGACAATCCACTTGTGCTAACCGGAGCACAAGTCCCTGGCTCCGGTAATCGATTTTTCTCAAACCTTGTTGGTACTCCTTCCACTCTATTACTACATTAGCAAAATCCGCACCATATCAATAAAGAAACTTGCCACTAGCCTCACCGGTACTCTCCTCAAGACCCTGCATAATGGTCGTCGCCCTTGTCTTGTCATTCTGCTTCACCCAGTCGTAAACTAGGGCAAACTCCGGATGCTTATCAACAAACAAGAACGGCTTCATCTTCCCCTCTGTAGTAACCCTATCTCTCACCTTCGCAGGAATCATAACAACCTTGCCGTTGCTATCTAATACCGAGCCACCATTTCCATCAAGCTTGGGCACCACGTTGTTGCGGTAATAGCGGCTGCTGAGGCATGATTCCGTCAAGCGCTCAGTATCCGGGAAGCAGCGGCTGAAGTAAGCGTGCACTTGAGGCCAGGGGAGTTGCAAGTCTTCGCGGTGGTACCGCAACCAGTGTACTTGCTCTACTGTATACGCTTTGTTCGAGTGCTGACCTTGCCTCCCTCGTTTTGGGGGTTTCGTGACGCGGTTGGTGCCTGGACGAGTGTGTGTTGCGGTTCTTGGACGGTTGTGGTATTGGGGTGAGTGCCAATATATATCTTGAACTTGTTGATCGTCAATGTGCTGTCTGGGAGAGGGCAATGAGGTTGGTTTCCAAACCGCAACGTGGAATTTTTGATGTCTGGCTGTGAAGTCACTCGGGACGTGGTGTTCAGGTTGGCGAGGGAAATGGTGATGTGGGTTAGAAAGCAATGGTGTTGGGCAGCCACGACTGAATGCGGGAGTGAAAGGCTGTCGAGGGTAGGAAGTAGAATGTGGAGATTGCGGTACAGACGGATTGATAGGACTGAAATGGTACGGCTGTATTGTTTGACAGTGAGCTGGCACAGGCTGCTCTAACTGAATTGGTAGAAGGTGAAAGTGTTGTTGCATTTTGTCGCTCATAAGTGACTTGAATGAAAATTGCTCATTGGATTGCTTGTTTTCGATCATGTTGTGAGTTATTTCAGGTTCTCCCGCGGCGGGATTCAACATTGCACGGAGGTCCATAGGATTCTTGTTCTGAATGGAATTTTGACTGCTCGTGAGCCTAGTGTTCAAGCTCAACACCTAGTCACTTTGATGGCTTTGTAAGTCCATCTAAAGAACGGCAGTAGGGTTCTAAATGGTCGTGTCGTTTCGTCTAACGCCTTGTGAGAAAATAGTTTGATTCAAGTCAGGTCCATGAGGTAGAGATTTTGATGCACTGATTGACAAAGGGGAGCCTGAGGTAAGAGGGACGAGAAATTAAACTCGAGTGGGGCCATTTTCATCTCGAGGTGTTGTGATACAGAGATGTTGGGAAGAAAGGGTGCGCCCAGAGTGCAGTTGGTTTTCAGAGCCATCAGGATTCAAGCTTTAAAGTCTCCAGCAGCCACAGCAGGCTTCCCAACATAATAATATTGCCCACCAATTCCCAGAAGACCGGGCTCTAACTGTTGTCTTTCTTATAGAGTACATCCAGGCTCCTGTCAAAGCGATCTTTCACTGTGTAGGAATGAAAGGACAGATGAATACAGGGAGCTGCCCGAAGTGTGGCGGGATCGAGAAGGGATGAGAAATGGTTCGAGTATCATTCGACTAGCGGGCCTGGAGCCTTATTTCTTTTATTAATCCTTAACTATAATATATCATTTCATCCGGAAACGGTCCGTAGTAGCACGGATCCGGTGGGTTGCTTCTTCAACCTTTCCTGACACAAGATGGAACGTAATTAAATGTATGCATTATTAATACAATACTTCACGAGTCTCTTTGAAATGTTTCCGCGCTTTTACTAAGTCTAATTAAAATTTTCTGTGCTCGAAGCTCTCAATTGCATGTTTCCGAACTTTCAAGAACAAGCTTTAGGGTCCTCAAAGATATCTGTTCTGTTAGAGGAATTGGCCATTAGCTTTCTATTCCCGTTCAATACCAAGGCGGAAAGACATATTTAGTTACGAAAAGCGAAAATTGATCTCAGAATTAACGAATAAAGGCGAGAAATACGAATCCACTATAGAAGCTTCCATGCGCACGACCGTGCCACTGTTAATCTTTTCCTCTTTTTCCGATAAGTTTCCTTGCAAAAGCTAAAGGGCTTCCACAGGTTTGCAGCCCGGAGGGGCGATCAGATTTTATATTCTAGGGAGATCTCAGGTAGTTCAGGACTCACAGTTATAGGCAGGATCGTTAGAGAATAGATGCGCGTGAAAGCATCTTGGCAGGTCTTTCCCCCGAATTATAGACCCGTCTCGGCCTGATATCTACCCATTCCCATTCAAAAATCATCTGGTGACAGGGCCAGCACTAGTTTTCTCGAAATACTACAAGTGGATTCTTAACCTCTTAAATCATGCAACTCAAACGAATTCTTGCAAAATAACATACGATATCACAGGGAGTTTTGGTTACCCTTACGCGTTAAACCCCTCGTAAGAATCGTTCCCGAATTCTAGATTCTGTGCTAGTGGCCTCAGATCACTGATTGAGATCCACAGCCACTTCGTATTTCGCCAAGCCATTGTCTCGGAGGAGCACCTTGCATCGACCCGAAAGCCATGCCCGTGAGTCGCATCTGTTTCTGACCGACTCTAGGTGAATCGCAAACGAAAAATGACTGCAGGATACTAGAGAGACGCCATTAATACTTTTTTGTTGGTACTGGTACTATTACCGGAAACCCTTCGGCTCCGGTAGATCTCTACCCACCCACGTCATGCGATCACCGCACAAGTCGTTCGCGTCCTAAATTCTATCCCAAAAGATTCGAGACACAAGGATCATACGAAAAACCGGAAAACCGTGGACGATCTCGTATGCACCAAAACAGAATTCGATCTGGATCCCCCATGGAACGGCCTACTGGCAGCGCCCGGTCCCTATGTCCGCTATGCAGTTCGTGCAAGGTAAACGGTGGTTCTGGCACAAAGTACTGAAAATAGGGCTCAAGGCCTGTAGAACCATCGCTGGAAGCGTTTAACGAGGCATGCCCCCCCGGTTAGTTATGGGACGCAGAAATCTGGCCCGCAAACCAACGTTTTCTATAATAATTCCTATAATAATTGCAATTAAATATTTTCTTAACTTTTACAGTCTGGTGGAATAGCCCTATAAATTAGGGAAGCCAGATGTACTGACTGTTTAAGAAATTAATCGAGGGTATTAATTTTCAGGTTCAATTCGCTACCAAATTTTCGGGCATGCATTAATCGTTCGGCGTTTCCTACCTACAATTCGCCTAGCACGCCTTGTAGGTGAGGGATAGCGATACGCAACGAACAGCGATACGCAAATCGCACCAAAATTTGTATAGGCAAATCGGGCAGATTTGCATCATAACAACGCCTTAATTTTTTGGTTTTAAAACTTACTAAGCTAAAGGGCCTACACCTTGGGATCAATTCCCAATACTTAGACACTATTTTATTACGCTGCGTTGTGAGAATTCAAAGGGAGAAAAGGAGAGATTCCCACCAAATCTCAGATTTGCGTATCGCTGTTCGTTGCGTATCGCTATCCCTCACCTACAAGGCGTGCTAGGCGAATTGTAGGTGGGAAACGCCGAACGATTACGACTAATAGGAGGCGTGTGCGAGGCAATCTTCGGGCGTAAACTACCGAGCCAACAAGGCAACTACAGCGCCCATAGCGCTATAACCGAGACTTTTTGCAGGGCTCCTTATCTCAATACAACCTCCCAGTACCGAGGCCGTCAACCCCTGTACTGCCAAAACCCCGATTTTTCATGACAATTGCGCATTGCACATTGCACATTCGCATATTACACTTAGCTTTTAAATTTTTAAAATAAAGTAATTATTTAAATTCCTGTTAATTCATTTGATCATTTATTAAATTCTTAATGAATTTTATATAGGCTATTTTTAGAAATTTTTATATAAGTAATTAAATTTAATATTTTATTAAATAAAGAAAGAAAAAATCGAGAATATATATAAGCCTTCGGAATATATAAGCCATTATAGCTATTTTGCAGCCGCTTTACGGCTGCTTTATTTAAATCTTACTAGAATCTTCTCAAAAATATTTCTCTTATATATTAAGCTTATTAAAGCCCTTATTACTTTTATATTTATATAAATTATAATTAATATATATATATATATATAAGAATTTAAATAACTTTAAAAAATTAAGAATTATAAAGTTATATTTAAAGATCTTAAGAACTTCAAAAATAGCCTCAAATTCCTAAGTAAAAAAATAATATTAAAGAAAGAATTTTGAAATTTTATAAATATATAAATTCTAATTAGAAGAATTCTAATTAATCTAAATTAAAGAAAATAATTAGAAAATTATATAAGTCATTTGCGAGCTTATAGATATCTTATATTATAAGTAATTTATTATATAAGAAATAAAAAGTAAGAAAAAAATTAAATATAATATATATAAATATTATTTATATTATTTTTTGGGGTTTTTAATAAAAGAATTACTATTAGCCTCTGTATTTAGAGCCATTTAATATATTTATAAGCTCTATATCTTTCGTTTCTATTACTTTATATTAGAAACTTTATATAATTTATAAGGCAATTTATAAAATACTATTTCGCGAGTATTTTTCTAATAAAATTCTATAAAATACTTCAAGATATTTGATTACTCTAATAGTTAAACCTAATATTGGTTGAGTAGAGTATGAGTAGGACCCACTACTCTACTCTACTCTACTCATTTGACACACTGGGAAAGGCAGTCTTGTCATGCGGGTACCAGATTGGACTACTGCTGATGGCTTCCTGAATTGTGTGCTTAGAGACAGATCTGAGGAGTCGGTCTAGGTAGGAAACATATACCACCAGGAAGAAAACTGCTTCCAAAAACAACACTATCTTCTTGTACAATTTTCGGTAATGTCGCAGCCGCAGCTCCTATCCAGCGGGTCCCTTCTTTCACAGCAGCTCTCGGACGAAGAATTGATTCCAAGGAGATCTTTTTAGCTAGCCATCATGTCTCCGTGAGGCTGTGCATTGGTGCTCCCTGATAGGAAAAGTCGTGTGCGAGGGCCCAGAGGATGTGTGCTTGCGTTGCAAAATTGGTGTCTGTACCTGGCCCCAGCATTTCCATTGCTTCGGGAAGTGCTGAGGAGGGTGGGAGATTAAGGGTTCAACATCATTTTTATGAAGTTTGGATGGCTTTTTGAAGTTGGTTTCGAGGAAGTCAGGCGCTCGAGTTGATTTTGTGGCCACCCTTGAAGGCTAGAAGAGAGACAAATAGAGATAGAAGCGAGGAGACTACCCAATCGAGGTCTTTCAGAGTGACTATAGACTTGTTTTGCCAACCAGTTACACGATGCAGCACTGTTTCTGCTTTCTCAAAAACAGAAGCAAGAAACGGAAGGCTGAACCACTATACAGACGAAAATAATCAGCTTGCATAATTATAGCAACATTGGGTATTGTTTCTTACTAGCTCAATTGTTTCGATTTTTCATC